TTACAGCAGATTTTAAGTTTGAAAATTGGCAAATTTTCTGTCGTTATCTTGTTGTTTTATAAACATATAAATTGTCAGTCATTTTTCATTCTTTAAAACACACTTAACAGTAAAAAGTCAATTTTACGGCTCTATGTAATGAAATTTTTCTAATAATTAATTAGTAATTTTGGTGCAGAACAGGTTTAAATTTTTGTCGTCGTTTTCTGCTTTTTCGCTTAGTGGTGCAGATATTTGCTTTGACGTCTTTGTTGTAATCTGGTTTCGCCTTTAATATTGGTTTGGTTTGATTAAACTTATTGAGAAGCGGAACGGACTTAAGTCTATTATTGATTTGTTCCGTTCTTTCTTTGATTTTAAATCTTGGTTTTTTTTTTTAATCTAACTTAGTATAGGTCTGCTCGAGAGTCTTTTGTCGCACCAGATGAGTTTAGGACCGGGGTGGCCTTGTCCCTTGTCTTAGAGTAATTTCGGATAGGGAACATCGTCTGTTCATCACGCTTCTATTTTTGGTTGGATAGATTCGCGCAACTTCTTAGTCTAATACCAATCCTAATCTTCCTCTTATGTTACCAAGTCGCAGTAGACCTAGTATATAGTTGTATTCTTGCTAGGTTAGAGAAGAGAAAGAGGTAACTGCTTTCTAAGTTACTTATATTTCTCTGGCTGAAACTAAAAATACAAAATTTGAGCTATACAAAATATTATAATTCTTAGTAATGAATCATGATTGATTAGTTCTAAATATTTTACAGTCATAAATATCAAGGGGTATTACTTGTTTGAACTGGTTCCAGGGTCGTTCAGAACATTTAATCAAATTTTATCACTTGATTAAGACAGAAAAAAGTTTTATTCTAACTTGAATATCATTTTTCTAAAAAAAATTCATCAAAACTTCAAGAACTACAAGTTTAACACAATTTTTTGGGAAGGAGATGTGATCATATGGTCTAAATGTTGAAAAATGGGGCCTAAGTGCTAATTAGGTAATGACAAACAAAATTGGTCTCTATACTTAAGCTTTATAGAACCACCCATTACCCATAAAAATGAGGTTCATGTGAGGACGGTTGGGGGTGGCGAGAAAAAACGCTTAAGCTAGGTCAGCATTGTATCAAACACTCTTTGAAACAAACGATGCAAAAACTAATGCGCTGTGACCAGGGACGCACTTAGGGGGTGGACGCCCTCTCTCTCTCAGGAATTCGACCCTCTCGCCAACCAAAGGGTCCCCCCTATGGGTTTTTTATGACATCATTTTTCTAAATTTTTTTCCAAAATCGACTTTGGCGTCAATATATATAATTTTGAAGGTGAGAGCAGGCCGGAACACCGCAATTTTTATTCAAGTTTTTCCAAGAAGTGTCCAAAACGGCATTTTGACTTGTTTGTTCAAAAAAATTTGGTCAACCTAAAAAATTGTCCACAAAAATTTCATTTTTTTTAAATCAGCCTGTCCTCCTCGAAACAATTCTAGATCCGCCCCTGGCTGTTACAAGGATGTTTGATTTTAAGGTTTTCCTATATGGACTAGCGAGCCATATTGTATAATTGGTTGTTTTGTTCTGGGTTGATAAATTTCAGGTAAACAGCAAATTACTAAAACATTATGGAAATTTTGAACTTACTCACATGGGCGCCCTAACTTTGGATTGCTTTTACGAGAGGGTTTTGTTGTCACGTAAAAGTATCACTCCTAGTTTCAAAAAAGCCTAGTCTCACCCCAGGAAAGGATAGCTTGTGATCAACTACAATAACAAGATGATTTCAGGACATTATGCTGATAAGAATATTAAAGACTGTCAAAAACAAATTAAGGATCTTTTCGCTTCTATTTAGTTGGATTTTAAATTAAACCTATTAGTCTTACTCCAGATCAGCAATTTTTTTTATTCAAAAGAAAATGGCAGATTTGCCGGTATCAAAAAACAGAATTGTCGCTTTTTCAAAGAAAAAATTAGTTGAAATGCAGATCCTTGAAGAAGACTTTCCTTAACCGTAATTAGATGAAAAGAAGTGCAATTACTCAAGTACTCGTTAACTACAATTAGTATGAGAACAATAAGTATGAAGACAATTTATCCACAAAGAAAACGACGGAAGCACCGCTGTTGTGCGCCCCTGCTTTAACAGAACATGCATTTCATTTGGTTACCTTTCTGAGACTAGTAAGGCTTCTTGATCCTCAAGCAACGAGCACTGATCATGTCGGGCCTCGAACATCCGACCGTATGATTGACAGGCGGATACGTTACCACTTCTAAACCGCTCCTTAAATTTTGCTAACTAAGAAGAACTTTGTCATCCTGCAAAAAATCTATTGTGGAGTAACAATGAGTTATCGATGAGTTAATAACTTAACCTTCAAGAAATTCAGTGTGTTTTGTCAATTCAACAAGTACAACCACAGTCTAAAATAAGGCGAACGTTTTTTACCGCAAAATTATTTTTTCCAGGAGAAGCAAAAAAACCTGGTTTTATCAATTGTCATACAATATAAACTCAGTAGTATACGGAGCGGTGATTGTCTCCGATTTGGTACTTATTGCTCTGGCAATTTGAGAAATGGAGAAGAACTTTGTATTCGGGTGTTTTACTTTTTTTCTTTTCTTTGTTTTCCACAAAAAATCAGCAACCACAAACAACTATTGGAGAGAATTAAGTGATAAATCAGATTAAAGATTCAACAGCTGTGATTCAAACGACGTTCAAAGATTTCAAAAAAGTTTTCCCAGAGTTGAGAAAAACCGATTTGAAGTTTTTGTCTCGATTTTTCGTCTTAGTTCGAGAGAATAACGCCAGCGAGCAGGCTTACAATAGCTTTTTAATGGCTTAATTAAAAACTTAGCAATTTAGTTTTACTCGAGCAACATGAATTTTTTTTGAGTCCTTCACGGTTTTTTGGAATCTCAAAAACTTCAAAAAATCAAAAAACTGCAAAAAAAAAAGAATTTTTTTTTGAATTTTTTTTTCGTTTTTCTAGCCAATTTTCTTTCTACAAAAAACGTTTTTCAAATTAATTATTTTACTATGAATCTTTAATATGCATAATCTTTAGTTATTTAGTTCAGATACTTTCATCTCATCAACTTGAAACAGCGACATTAATTTGAAAAAAAATCTTGTTGTATGATTTTAAAACTATGATCGGAACATTCCGTGCCACTTGCAGAAAAACCGGCTATCAATGTTCATTTATGTGCTTGTTTTAACTACTTCAATTGTAGTTTTCACAAATTTTACCCTTTTCGGAGCTTTTTTTGGGTTTAAGTGTTTATCAAGCAACAATCTAATAGTCTTATACTTTCTTGGAAAAAAAATTTTTTCGCGGCGAATAAAGAACAAAATTACTTTTAAAATGTGTTTATTTTTTTACGCTCATATTTCATTTTTTATTAATTTAACTTTCAAACATATTTTTTATTTTAATTTAAAATTTTAGAGTTTTTTTTCCATTTTCAATAACTTATCCTTTTTACTGTTCTCATGATGTGCTGAATGTTTTACATGGAATCAAGCCAAAACAATCAGCAGGTATTGATGAGTTAAGCAATCTCTTCTTGGTCTTATTTCCTCTGTTTTTGCGACATATCCGACATATTTGGCCAATTTTTTTTTCACATCTGTAGTTTTCTTTCTCAACTTCTTAACGCAAAAGTGTTAACACTTTACAAGACAGATAGTAAATTAGGTGTTAAAATTACAGCGCAAATTCTCTGCTGATTAACAGCAAAAAAAAATTTTTTTTTGAAAATAGTATGTATATGCGAACTTGAGAATCTTTGGAAAATTATGTTCTGCTTTTTGGCAAGCAGTTTGGGTTCCGAGAAAGTATGCAACTATTTACGCGTTAGCGGAACTAGCGGAAAAAATAAAATTCAGTACTGACAAGTTATTACGCTTGAGTTTTTAATAGACTTCAAAACGCCTATGACACGCCTGATCATCAAAATTTGCTGGTCAAACTAGAGTTCTACGGAATCCCTGGTGTAAGTCTTAAATAGTTTAGCCGCTTATCTTACCAGCAGGCATCAACGCATGAGAATTAACTTAACAAATCTGACTGGTTACCCGTTCATCTGATGTTCAACAAGGCTCTGCGTTAGGTCCTCTTCTTTCCTCATATGCCTTACTTCTTGCAGATGATACATAGATAGTGGCTTGCGGCTCGAGTCAGATTAATTTTCAGTCAGATCTGTGAAGATTCATTGTGGAAAAATTTCTATTACGTTAATTTCAAATTCAGATGAAACTTCTTGTTAGACAGTCAAGATTGCGCGCAAATCATTGAAAAGCGGAGATGCGCTGACATCGTGTTCCGTTCAGCCATAAAATTGAGCGTAGTAACGTGCTGTTTAGTGCAGCTTTTTTCCAGGGCAGATCTAATGATCTCGAAGAAGTAAGGGGGATTTTCTAAAAATCTGAAAATTTTGATGTCTTTTTTGAAGTCGACTAAATTGATGTTCCAAGCTCTCTCAAAACAAAAAAAAACAATATTTGCTCAAATTTGGTGAAAATCGGCGCCTAGTGTGAATATATATTTAGTGGATCTTGGGTTTCTTCGAGGAGGGGGGACGGACTTTCAAAATAAAAAGTTGTCGACCTTTTTAGAAGCTTTTCCAAAACTGATTTTTCGAGCTTTTCCAAGCACTATAAAAAGCCTTATTTGCAAAAAATGTTTTAAGCCGCAGCCTAATTTTTGAAAAAACGGGCCGAAAATTTTTTGAAGGCTTTGACAGAAAATTAGAAGCACCATTTTTAAAGCTTATTTAGTTGCCGTAACGCGTTTGAATATGACTATGGCTAGACTCGCAATTAACCAGTAGGCCAAAGATTATTTGAAGTATGCCAAAATTGTTTTTGTAGCCAAACGCTCAGATCAAATATATTGAACCAAATATGTCATGTTGAATCAAAACATTACTCTATAATCAAGGCAGCTTTTGTTGTTCAAACTGGTTCAATACTTATGGTCAATCTTAAAGATGCCATCATTAAGTGACCGCATGAGTTTGATAGAAAATATTAGAAGATCGTCAAATGTTATATAAATAACCTTTCTAGTAAATGGAGGAATTTCTTTATAACTTTTGAGTTTCTTTTGCGGATATAATTGGTATGGCCAATTTTTCTTATAACGTGTCTACCAATTCAATCAATGAAGATGAATACTTCGTCCCTCCTGGACATCACGAACAGGACCCGATCCCGACTCGTTCTAATTCGGAGCGGCGGGCGACAGTGGCGGAGGATGAGCTAGAACAGTCGCTGAATATCCGCAGCACCAGGAAAAGGTTCCTCGCTCTCGCTTTGTACATGATTTGTGCCTCGTTCCAGACCTACACGAGCAACTGCCTCAACCCCATGTCTTTGGCACACAGTCCAGATGTAAGTCAAACAAACATATAAATAATTAAAAGCAGGAACACAAATGTGAACCAAGTTTTTATGCACAATTGAACTTCAGACCACCTTGAGATACTATTTCTGAATTTTACATATTTTATCAAAATTAGAAGTGACGATCCTTCGCAGACTTATTCTGCGAACTAATTCTGATCGAACTAATTTAGCATGAAACTGATTGAAAATACTTTGTTGACGAGTTTTGCTAATAACAAAAAAGCTCTCAGGAAGGCCATTAAAAACGCCATGCTTCGAATAGAACGAAGTTATGAAGTTTTTGTAAAAACCCTACCTCTCAAACGAAAAAAAAATATCTAAAAATTTCTATGAGAAATGAGGTGACTTCTCATATTCGAATTTCGCAAGAAAAAATGTCTGAAAAACTGAAAAATGTTCCGATTCTAAGTAGTTGTTCAGCGTGTAAAAAGAATTTTGCGGCAAATCAACAGATTTTTGGAATCCGGAAAATTTTGCAGGGTCACGATGGCACCACTGGCAGAATCAACAAAAGTATCTGCACCAGTGATATCAATAGTTTTTATCAAACTGCTTAAATAAATGTTAAATTGGTCGGTATGTTCTTTTTGTCAAAACTGGGAAAACAAACTGGGAAACAGATTAACAAAAAAGCTGTTTTTAGTTAAATAATTAAAAAACCGATTTCCAAAATATTTGATTAATATTTTTGCCAAAATCGAAGAATCAGGCGAATAGTTTGAATTTAGAAAAGCCACTCTTAAGAAACTAAACTGATTAACTTAACTGAAAACTACACTGAGTTAAAGATGGATTCATCAGAAACTGAAACATTAGACTACCTTTCGTTGTTGACATGGAAAGAATCTTTGAAGCGCATATTATCGGAAAAATGAGAGAGATATGGCATTAGAGTAATGGCTTTAAAAACCCGGAAATCATTTATGATGAATCAATATCAATTAGTTTTTTTCCCGTAAAGCAATGCTCTAATTTGCAACTTCCAGCAAGTTGCTTGGCGCAACGTTTTGTTTAAAGCTTTTTACTTCTATTTTACATAGATTTCAGCAGCGAAACGACAGCCTTTAGTATGCTACTTTTTACTGCCGTTTGCTGATGTACAAATATTTTGAGCACTGATACAAATTAGCCAAAATTAGGATTTTGCTAGTAATCCTTTGGTTATTGAACAACATAAACATTGTTGAACCAAAATGTCTCATTGCAAAATATGGTAGGAAAAATTAAATTTCCGATAGCACTGTATCTGCTTATAATTTTTAAAAAACTTTTCTTCGTTTTTCTAGTCATTTTTCTTCAAAAACGGTTTTCCAATTGAACTATTTTACTATGAATGTCAAGTAAGCCTAAGTTTTATTTTTTCGTTCAGATCTTTTCATCACTACATGCAGGAAAAAACGACACCAATTTGAAAAACTTTCTTTTTGTATTTTTTTAAGAATGTCGTCGGAACTTTCTGTGCTACTTGCACAGTAACCGGCTATCATTGATCTAAATTGCAACGACCTTTATGCTTAACCCTCATAAGTTACCAAGTTTTGGCTTACTGTTGCTGGGCAAACTGAAACCTTCAGCGAATTCTATTGATGCGAAAGAGAATAAACATTTTTCCAATTGCTTTTTTATCATTTGCTGAAAGAGTCTATTGATGAAATTGGATGAAAGTCAATCAACGCTCAAACTTATCTCATTTTCGAATTTTCAAATGAGACCAATTACTCGAGATCGTTGCAAAATATGTTTTTTAATATTTGTAACATGCAAACAGGAATAGAAAACGATCGTTTCGAATGACAATAACCATCTGCTCAATTTCCCAAATTTCGAAAAAACTTACCTGATAAGTAGATCGAAAAAAAAATACATTAGATTTTGCGTATAAAATGGATTAACTTTGGTAAAACCGCCAGCATGCAAAATTTCTCACTTTTCAACTCAACAAAATCTTAGTTTTCCAGAGCTTCTCTCAAATATATCTAAAACTCAAACTAAGTCCTTGATGTAACTTTCTTTTTAACAATTTTTGATCGGCTTAATATAATGTGATTTTGAACTAACACAACCACAATTAATTTAAGTTAAAATCGCATAAGCTAAGCGTAACTTCGCAACACGTGTGATACAACTTAAACATATAATTCCAAACTGGCGAGTAAAAAATGAGACGAAAATAAAAAAACATCGGAAAATTTTTTTAACGTTTATCTCGATTTTGTTACATAGAAAACTTACAGGTAGTAATTTTCAAAACTCGGAGTCTTTAAGACCCATCCTTCCTTAAATTAGACTGAGCTGACATTAATCAAGTTTTCTGAAAATTTGTGAACACAAATCGAGAATCGCCATCTTCTATATTGGCTTTCCAAAATTTCCCAATAAAAAATCGAATTAATACGTATCGAAAAATACAAGGTCCAACAGGGATTCGAACCCCAGACTTAAGGATCCCACGGCATAAGCGTTACCAGTAAACAAAAGGGCCTCAATTTCCAGTCCATACTAGCATTGGGTCATCTGACATACACATATTGAATTGGCTAAGATATAAAACGCGTTAAGAAGAACGCAGTGAAAATCACTAACTTTTGTTCATTCAATCTAAAAACTGCGATGAAGTTTAGCGTGCTTTTTTTTCGTTCATTTGTTGCCTTTATTTCAGGAGATCATTCAAAAGAACATTGCCAACGTTAAAACACGCGTATTGAGTTTGACCTTCTTCTTGACATGCCTCGTGACCGCGTATCCCTTCAGTCTCCTAATAGGCAAGGCAGACCTGAAAAGATACTTGGTCATGTCTTCATTCCTCACTGCCATTTCACTCACTGCAAGGCAGGTTTTCAACATCCACACTAATATTGCTTGTAGTGGCTTAGCGCGTGTATAGAAAAACTAGAGAAAATCAGAATTATTTTGTTTTGGTGTGAAAACCGAAAAATTGCTGAAGTCGAATTTAGCTTTCCTTAGGTTTTTTTGGTCTCAAAAACAAACAATTTAGATCTAGCTATTACTTTTTTCAAAGTTTAATTTTTCCTAGTGTCAAATTTTTGGCGGTGTTGGTGAAGCTTTAGTTAAATTTTCTCTCAACGAAAAAAGCAATTTTGACCCTTTTCTGTATGTTATAGCCATATGGGAACAAACCATTGTTTGTAATGTTTACGCCTAGCGTTCAAATCAGGTTTGCGCCTACTCATACGCTCAAAACTTCAATTTATCAACCGCACGCTTTTTATATGCAAGTACTTGGTGAGCAAAAAAAAGTATTGTATTTTTTTGAAGAGCGAAAAAAAATGAAGAGAAGAGTGTAAATACTAATTCATTACAAGTGTTTCAAAACGTTGTTAGTGATTTACATCTAGTGATTAGCGATTTTCACATTGTTTCAATTGATGGGATGTCGAAAACCTTCTGCGAGGTGTATTGTGGTGGCTTGTGAATTCGACTACCACAACAGAATCACGTTGTATGTCACCCAGGTTCCCCTTTCAATAGCAGCATGTATGTCCTTAGTGGCCCCGCCTCAAATTTCCCTCCAGTGGTTCCCCAAAACAGAGCGACGCTCGGCAACTGGCTTCGCATTTCTCTCTCTCTACCTTGGGATCACGTACAGCTTCGTGATAGACTGTATTCTCATTTACTGCTTCCAAGGTACCGAGAACTTAATGCGCAAGTTTCGCTACTTTCAGATGACTCAAGCTCTCGTCGCCGCTTTTGTTTTCTACTTGATTCTGGCCCTTTATCCGAATAAACAAAGCGCCTACATTCCGAGCTTCATAACTCTTTCTCAGAGGTTCTCGCTGAAAGCAAGTGTGAATAATCTGAGAAGCAAGCGCAGAATTTGGGTATGTCTCGTCTGTTCTGGAATTATAATTGGAAGCTACATCTTTTTCTTTTACCAGATTTCATGGGTCGTTGACCAGCTAGATTTGTTTGAAGAGCCCGACCAAAATGAAAAAATAAACACAACCGATTTACTTCTATTTGCTCTCGCTGTTTCAGCAGCGATGATTGTTTCTGTGGGTGTCGCATACCTTCTATTTCGATTGAGCGATCGATGTGAGCGACTATTCTTTTTCATTTTATCCATCCTAGTGATTTACACATTTCTGTTCACTCTTCTTCTTCTCTATAGTTATCTACTCTTAGAAGTACTCGATAGATTAGCACTTTTGATATTCTTTCTCTGTTTGGGCTTGGGCGCATCTACGTGTGTAATTGTGTTCACGCCCCTCTTTGCCGAATTTATTTGCGACTTCATGTATCCAGTGCCTGAAGATTTCACGTACGCCATCTTTTTCAGCAGCGTCTTCGTTATTCCCACTATCTTCAGTATTGGCTTTTTTCGAGCCGATGGAAGAGACGACACAGAATTCGCCAAATGGGCCATTTCTATTGTGACTGGATGCGCTATTTTGGGCACATCTGTTTTCGCTTTCTTGAAGAACACTAAAAACACCAGGTATGGCTGGGAGATAGGAGCTCAGAAGCGGGCAGAGCTGACGAATGACGCCAGTAACTTAGTAAGCATCAGCTACCAGCAAATTCGATCAACTTGAACTAATTATTTGAACTAAGTTATGCGTGTATCAACATCTGTTTCAAAATTGGTTCATAATTTTTCCACAACTTTAGAAAATTTATATTTATTACAGCGTTCCTAAGTCATATGCAAAGTAGTAAAACAGGCCTGAGAGGGGAGAGTTAGCGTAGACTCGTACCACTAGCGATACAAACCTTTCTGGCAGTCTTTTTTTTAAATACTAGAGGAATCACAGCAGCTGAAGCCGATTGAAAAACTTTGGGACAAACGGCAATTTCTCTTGAAGCATCTCAAATCTCTGTCATCTCAATTTCGAAGCCTCCAAAAAATTTTAAAGAAAAGAGATCTAAAGTCTCAGAAGAGAATACTAAATTCCCAGTCTGTCGAAGTTAATACATCTGATTTTATTTTATTTATGATATAAACATACGATCTGTACAGAAGCACCGGTACACAGAGCTTCGCACCACTTGCGATGCAAGACAAGCATAAAAATATAAGTAGCAAAAAATGAAACAAGTTGAAATTAATAAATGTCTAAATTCAAATTTTTGTATGTCTCGATAGAAGTTCACTCTAGTCGAATATGCTAGGCATTTGAATTTTATTTAGCAACGGAACAAATTTTACGAAGAGAAAACAAAGCCTGACAAATCTTTGAGCAGACACAAGTTGAGCCGGAAAAAAATGGTAAATGAAATTTTTTTAAAAAGTTTTAAGTCCCAACTGAAATCATATTCAACAAAACAAAACTTGCAACTACAATGAAATTTGCTTACTGTACAAAAAAAATCAATGATGTGACAACTAAGCCAACAAAATTTGAGCATACAACAATTGAACCGAAAAAAATGATTTGTTGGATATGTTTTAAAATCCTGCAAGTCCCCCCGTGAAACTAGAATGAACAATCACTTGCAAATGCAAGAAAAGTTGCTTAGAGCACAAGCAAAATCCGTGATGAGGCAACTTAGACGACAAAAATTGAGCAGACAAACAAGATCAGGCAAATAACTTTTACCAAAAAAAAATCAATCGCACACATGCTGAAAAAAAAACAAGATCCTGCCGAGACTCGAACTCCAAACCTTAAGGTGCAAAGGCTACGGCCTTAGCCATAGGCCAAGTAAGAAGGAGGCATGAAGATTTTACGGGAAGAAAAGAAAAACATAGCCAACAGATAGTTGAAAATTATTCAATGAACGCAACTAAAGAAAAAATACTGACTTGCCTTTTGAAAAAACATCAACATCGAAAACATAAGATGGCCTTAAAGCTCTTTGAATTTCTCGAACGATTTATGATTGATACCTTTTTTTGATTAAAAAAAACAAATTGAGAAAAGTGGATCAAAAAATAAAACTTTAGTTTCACTGGGAAATCTGAGAATTAAATTCAACTTTCGAAATCATACTCTTCGTTAACTTTACATTTTTGTTTTTCGATTTGTTGTTTGTCTCCATTTTACCAAAAGACCCGAGCTTACAAAAATACAAAAGTCCAACCGCAAACAAAGTAAACTTGAGCCTGAACAAACTCCAAGAGTTTTCCTGAAAAACAAATCACCGCGACCTATATAAGAGTCTGAACCATCTTTATCGACTCTTAAAAAGAGAAGAGAAGAACTGAGTGAAGAAGAAAAGAATTTGAGAAAAGTTGTTTACGGGAAAAAAAATTTTGTTCCGCATTACAAAATACTTGCTCTCGCAAGTGCAATAATCCATAGAAAAACATTTTTTTTCTAAGAATGGGTAACAAAAAATTAAATACTCGAAGTATTACCAAAAGAGTATTTAACAGGATTATGAAACAGCAAAAAAAAATTAAGGCACGGGCGCAACCAAGTTTCTTGCCAATTACGATGCAAAAAGAAAACGATGAGGTACAAAATTAGGAAAAGAACGAAGTTTTCAACATTTTGTGCACATGAAAACTGGAAAAAAAAAAGCGAAGTAAAGCGTTTTTTGCAAGGCCATTTTTGCAAATTCAACGAAAAATAAAAAATAAAAGCGGAATTTCGAAATTTTACACAGTGGTAAAGCGGAGCTTTGCCTCACTTGCGATACAAGGTAAGCGTTGCATTGGAATCATGGCGAATAGAAAATATGTCTGAAATCAAAACATCGAAATAAAAATTTGGGAAAATGGAAAATAAATTCAGAAAAGCAGTCAAAACAACAACCACCAGTAGTAAACAAACATTAAGTATTTACCGGGCGGTCCCAGTAAGGCCAGAAAAAGTTGGAAGACGCCCATTGAGTTGAAAACAAGAAATGGATTATGAAATTGTCATAAAGAAACATAAAGTTAGCAATTAAAATTTACAACTTCGAAATCTTGCAATTAAAACAACTTGACTTTTTTGGAGACAAAAACATTGGATTTTTGCAATTGAAGCGACACACAAAAAAATAAATACGCCACTAAAATATACGCCGAAACTATTTTGGCCGAAAAAATTTTTAAGCGAAAAAAAAACAAAAAAGAAAGCCAAAGAAAATATATATAAAATATTCTACGAGAAAAGAGAAAACTACAAAAAAAATTTTTTTTTAAATTTGTTTAAAACAACCTGCATTAATTATGTTTAATTTTGTGGTTTTTATTAAATGAAAAAATTTAAAAAAAAGAGCAAAAGATGTTCCTATAAGACATTGAAAACATCGAATGCTTTGGCCTAAATAGCAGCCAAAAAAAATCTGTAGAACCTAAATTATGCCTGCAATCGAACGTAAAATAAAAAAGGAGTGCGGTCGAAAATTAAACAAACCTTACATCAAACTCAGACAATTGCAAACTTTAACCAGAAACAGATAATTACAAATTTTAACACGGAGGCGAAGCTGAGCTCGAGATACAAAACAAAATGCCAAAAATCAAAAAATTATGTGTCTAAAACGATATGTGAAAAACTTGAATGAATTGTTGTAGGCTAAAAAATCAATTATCGCTGCAATGTTATAAAACCTTACGGCAATGTTATAAAAAACAATTACCTAACACATGAAAAAGGATTCGGGCTACACAAACTCCATTTCTTTCTTTTTCACAGCCAGGCAGGTGGAAACGATAACAAAAAATTTTGGTGGAAAAATCGAGTTCCAGAAATTCTTAATTGCACTCAAACACATAGCTTAAAATTTTGCAACCAACCAACCTGCAAATGCCAGAGGAAAAATTTGGAATAAAAATGGCCCCTTCCGGTATCTGCTATAAACTAAGATCATATTGAGAAAAAAACTTGACATAAAATTACAAAACAAACTAATGCAAAATTTTCAAACAATTGCCCAAAAAGAGCTTGAATTGCCAAAATGAACTTGCAGAAAACTTGACAAATTAATTCTGAAAGCCTAAAAAACTAATTACATCAAACATGAAAATGGTACGTCACGTTAAGATAGCTGGATGACAGGAAAAAATAGACGCCCGTGAAAGAAAGAGAAAAAAACACAAAAAATCATTTTTTCGAGAAGTTTCAGCCAAAAAAACACACTCCTGAATGACATGCAGCACGCGCCTCAATTTTTGCTGACGAAACACCAAAAAAAATGCAAAAAAAAACATTTTCCTGAAAAGTATGAAATTTTTCTTTAATTTTTTTTACATTATAAAACAAACGTTATCCCATTAATTTGTATCGATTTAAAATAACATTGCTGAGCCCTAGAACAAAATAAAAAAAAACCTGATTAGATTTTTTAAAAATAACCAGAAACCATGATAAAAATTTTTGAAATAAAAAATCAAGGTATTGTGTTTTATTTAAATTTTTTATCGTCTAACAGAAAATTTAGTCGTGTATAAAAACCAGAAAATTAACAACTTAAATTACCCTCTTCAAAATGAAGAAAGAGAGTGCTAAAGGAATCTACCAAAAAAATAAATAAAACAACCGGCAAGTAAGCCGACAAACATTGGAACGAAGTAATTAATTATTTCGAACATTCTTTTTCTTATCTTAATTCTGATTGGTTAATATAGTATTTCTCTACTTTATGACCGGTCTACTTTTTGCTACGTAACCATTTAAGATTTCCATATGAATGTCAAAAAATGTTAAATTTTTGAAAGTCTGTTCTATCACACTGTAGCCGATAAAAATGATCAGACATAATAATCCGAAAAATATCTACTTCCTTTCTGCAAAACTATAATTACTCGCCAAACTCCCAAGTGCGTGCGTTACTAAACCAGAAGAAAAGAATTTGCTAATTAAATTTGATCTGTTGATAAAATAAGCTATAGAAGATTATCATTTTTTTCTAGAGAAATCGACCAAATATTAAAATTTTCTCATCCCCATCAATATTTTGAACACAACTGAGATTTCACTCATGACACTTCATGGTTTCGCCCATTACATCTAAAATGGTTTGGGTTATGGCTGCTTAATATTAATCATTAAGAAGCGTCTTTTCTTGTCAAACCTTCATCCAAGAAAATTTTTTAAGAGAAACTTTGCAATCAGAGGTGTAGAAAACTTTGCAATAGTCACTATTTAAATCAGCATGAAAAAGAATACAAAGCACATATTTGAAAAAATAATAATTTCAGCTTGCAAAAGTTGAACTGAAACTAGCAGAGAACACCATCAAAACAATAGAAGATAAAATAAATTTGTAAAAATAGTTTCAGAGATTATTTCGAGTAGTGATGATTCCTAGCGTGATATCATGACCACCAATGTTTTAACTGTGCACGTTCATGGTCAAACATTAAGAAATCAATAATTCTTATGCGGAGGATGATGAAAAAGCAAAAAGACCTTGACAAAAATGGAGAAATTATGCTGACCAAAATTATTGACCAATTGAAAAAAGAATTGTACGTCATGCTCAGAGGACTTCGACTATAGTATGAATGTATTGTAAGACGTTATTCTGAAAATCGTGACAAGTTTATGAAGAAAAAGAAAACTCGAACCAACCTGAAACCATGAAATGAGGTAGAATTGCTGTAAATGTACATAAAGCGCAAAATGTTAAACTTTTAAGCTAGCCGAAACGCTATAACCTTAAAAATGTCATAAGAGCATAATGTCAAAACCTAGCCGAACCAACAAATTACTTGAAGAATTACAAAACTGACTTTAACAGGTA